GGCCTTGCATGGATCCACCAAAGAAGACTGAAGGACCGAAGACGAAAGCCAGTGTGATGAGCTCCAGTTGGGTGTGGGTAGCCTTGGACACTGGGAGAGCTGGTTTCCTATGGTGGTGTGGGAAGGAAGACAAGCTGTGTGTTCAGATTAGAGGGTTACCTGGAGTTACTGTGAGGCTCAGGCACTCTTGACAAAAGCTGGACTCATCATGAGAGTAGGCCATGGAAAGCATCTGCCTGTGGCAAAGGTTGGTGCTGGGTTATTTAACTACTTTGAAGCAAATTGCTGACAAGGAAGTTTTCCTCAGTGGGTGGTGGAACAGTCCTTTCCTCAGGTAGATGTGGAGCATTTTTAAATTCCCACTATTTGCCTGTTGAGAAAACCCTAAGGTTAGAAGTAGATGTCAGGTGTTCTGTGATTGATAGCAGAAGCAAATGCAAATGAGCACCCTCAATGTAGGAGTCATAGGATTTTCAACAGATAAAGACCACCCAATGTGAGCTCATGATTTCAGATTCCACAAACACATAAGAAAACTTAGCAGGAGATGGGAGAAATCACAGAGTAGAACTAGATTTCCTTAGAACTTAAGATAATGATTTATCTGATAAGGAAAATGATCTAAATGTCTGGAATATTTTGAAATAAGCATAATTAACACAGGTAAAAGAGAAATTCTTACAAAAATTAAAATGAAAATCAAAAAGAAACAAAACTTAAAGAAATTAAAATAGGATTAAATATTTCAATGTTCTTTTTAAATAGCAAGTAATTAGGAGCTAAACAGAACTGATCAACTAATGTTAAAGTTCCCTTTATTCTTGGTTTCTTTTTCACTAGTGCCTGAAGTGCAACATAAAGATATGGAAATGTAAAGCGGTTAAGAGACATAAAGAATAGAATATTATACATCTAAATGGATTTGTAGACATTCAAAACAAATGAGAACGAAGTTACTAATTAAATAAAATCAGAGTTTATCACCAATTTATCCTTGAAATTATATGATAAGAAATCATAAAAAACAACCCAGTAAAACTGAACTGTACTGATTATAAAAATTAACAATGATTCTATAATTGGGTATTAAAGTGGGCTGAGTGTTCATGTCTTCTCCAACTTCATGTGTTGAAAGTGATGGTATTAAGAAGTAGGGTTTTGGGGCCATGATGAGGTCATGACAGCTCTACCTTACCTTTATAAGGAGCAAAACAGACCAGTGTTTTCCTTCTGCTTCATGAGACAAGAAGTCTGTAACCCCACAAAGGGCTTTCACTACAAACCTCCTGTGTTGGCAACACATTCAACCTCCACCCTCTGAAGTGCAAGAAATACATTTGTAAACCAAGTATTTGTGGCTCATGCCTATCATTCTAGCCACTCAAGGTGTTGAGATCTGAGGATCATGATTTGAAGTCAGCCACATGGCAGACAAATCCAAAAAACTGTTTAACCATCAAAAAGCCAGAAGTGGAGATGTGGCTCAGGCAATAGAGCACCAGCTTTGAGCATAATATGCTGAGGGAGAATGAAAGGTCCTGAGTTGAAACCTCAGTATGGGAAAAGGAAGGGATAGAGGAAGGAAGGAATGGAAGGAAGGAAAGAAGGAAGGAAGGAAGGAAGGAAGGAAGGAAGGAAGGAAAGGAGGAAGGAAGGAAGGAAGGAAGGAAAGGAGGAAGGAAGGAAGGAAGGAAGAGAAATAAGAGATCTTTGTTTTGGTTACAAGTTACCTATTCTATAAATACATTTTCAAGTTAAATACACTTTAGATAAGTTTATTAGACCATGTTAAGTTGGGGAATTGCTTAATCACAGCTGTAGAATTGTATATACTCATGAAACCTAATAAGATTCTCAAAATTTATAAAACCAAGTAATAGGCTTACAAGAATACCAAGGATCTCAGTGTGAGAAAATATTTTATTAACTTGTAGACATATGTGGCCAATCCTATACGAGTTAGACATGAGACCTCCTGCTTCAAGACAGTTAGCTCTTGGGAACTGCCCTCACATTTTCCACTTGCAAAACCTTTCTAGTAGGATCATTTTTAAGGATGAAAGGTAAGGTACCCATCACTTGAGAATGGTTTAAAGTTGATTATGTTGTAACCATTGAATGAAACATTGTATGTCACATTAAAAGTGAGTAGTTGCTGCATGTGTTGTAAAAGGATTAGAAGTTTGTAAAGATAATGTAACATGGAGCAAAAGTGAAGTGTTTTCTTAAAACACAAAATTATGCACAGTATATTTCTTTTCTGTACTTTTATGTGTGAGTGAGTGTATGTGTGTGGCTGCCAATCCTGGGACTTAAACCAGGGCCTGGACACTCTGAGCTTTTTTGCTAAAGGCTAGCACTCTATCACTTAAGCCACTGCTTCACTGCTGGCTATTTCAGTGGTTAATTGGAGATAAAAGCCCCATGGACTTTCTTGCCCAGGCTGACTTTGAACTACAATCCTCAGATCTCAGCCTCCTGAGTAGCTAGGATTAAAAGCATGAGCCTCCAGCACCCAGTAAATACTCCCTTCTTCAAGTGGTTTGATTTTTTTAGAATACAGATGATAGTGATAATACAAATGGACTCAGGTCATTAATAATCAGAATGGATGAGAAGTGACTTTATAGTTATTAACGTTCAGTTTCTTCCTAATGGCATTTTAAAGCAAGGCTGCAGACTCTGATTATCTCAGCCCCTCATCAATCCTGTGAGATTTTAGGGTGCAGACACTGTTTCCCCGTTGTGCTGAGGAGGGAGATTAGAGACCAGAACTATTTTCTCTGCACCATTTTCAGCACTGTCTCTTCCATCTCTTTTCCTCAGGACAGTGTAACTCAGACTGTGTGACTCACCTTAGAGATCCAACAAAAACAATAAATAGCACAAAATACTTTCCTTGATAATTCTCTCTTTCCTCTCCTGGCTAAAGAGCTCTTTGTCTCTGCCTCATAGTCCTATTTTCTCCATCTGATCCTTATCTGGCTCCTTCCTACCTCTAACACTAGCTGTGATCATTTGGGTCAAGATTGCTGGGACATTTTGTGGAGTTATTTTCCAGCCAGTCTTCTTGACCTATCTACCACCTTTTTTTTTTTAATTGTAAAGGTTTTATACAGAGGGGTTGCAGTTTCATACATCAGGTATTGAGTCCATTTCTTCTTGAACACTGTCACCTCTTCCCTCATAGTCTCCCAGTTTTTTTTCATCTACTACCTTCCATTTAGGTCACTGACCATTATGCCCTTCCCTGGCTTCAAGGTGTACCCTGCCATGGCTTCAAGCTCATCAATCTGCTCACCCCTCTTTTTTTTCATCGTCAGTTATGGGTCTTGAACTCAACGGCCTACGCACTGTCCCTGCGCTGTTTTACTCAAGGCTAGCACTATACCCCTTTGAGCCACAGCTTCACTTCCGGTTTTTGAGTGGTTAATTGGAAATAAGTCTCACAGGGACTTTTTTGCCCAAGTTGGCTTTAAAACAGGATCCTCAGATCCTCAGATCTCTGAATAGCTGAATTACAGGTATGAGCCACCAGCATCCAACTTTTTTCCATACTTAAAAGACAGACTAATACTCTTATTTTGCTTAGGAACTTGTCATCCACATCTAGTGAAACTACAAAGAAAGGCAGGGAATAATGAACCAATCATTAGAGTGGGCTGTCTGTCCTATCCCTCCAGAGCTGGAAATGTGCTTCATGAGGAAGACCAAGGTGGCCACATATCACCTGTACTAGGAATGTTTACTCCCTTCAGGTAGCTGGTGGGCACATGTAAATCTGTCTTACTGCTTACATAGTGTTGTTGGTCTGCAAAGAGAAGCTAGTTTTTTAATACCAGGTGTAAATACAATATGTTAACATAAGAGGAAATTTGAAGCAAATTTTTGTAAAACCTCATTCCAAATCAGTGATTGTAATAATACTTCCAAGGTATATTTTGAAAAAGGAAAAAAGTTCTCATTGCAGTTTCCTTAACTCCAAAAAATCATCCTACTGTTACACTCAGTACTAACTTGCCATTCATGTGAATTGGACCTACTTAATTTGTGTGTTTATTTATTACTTAATTTAATTCACAAATCATTACAGGCTAAGATGTTAGTTTCCAGTGACCATTTATAACTAAGGAAATTTGGACACATCTTCTCTTCCTTTTGCCATCTATCTTTTCCTTAAGAATTCCTCATTTTAAAACTTAATTTTGGGTAGGGTACTGGTGGCTCACACCTGTAATCTTAGACTCTCAAGAGGTTGAGCTCTGAGGATTGTGGTTCAAAGCCAGCCTACACATGAATATCTATGAGACTCTTACCTCACAAAAAATGCTGTAAGTGGTGCTGTGGGTCAAGTAGCAGATTGCTGGCTAGCCTTAAGGAAAAGGAGCTTAAGGATAGCACCCAGGCCCAAAGTTCAAGCCCCAGGATCAGAAAAATAAAAGAAATTAATTAATTTAGATTTTTTTGAAAGAGCATTTAACCAGGATAGGGGGTCATGAAAATGACAGTACATCAACTAAAATCAAGCTTTAGATTTTGAAACTTTTACCCAATCTTCTCTTGAAATTTTAGTTTAGCCCCCAAATTCCTATGAAATGGTAAATTACTTGCACAATCAAACTCAGGGATTCTCTGCTTCCTCAGCTAGTGACACCCTTATTATCCCAGTAAATTTTTATAGCAATCCTAGGCCAAAGGAAATAACTGAAAGTTTGGCTAAATAGCACCCAACCAAAGACCAACTTTGACACCACTAATGAAGTACAGCTTGGTCTTATGTTGTCATTAGCAAGTACCATCAACCAGGAGCTTTCCATGTCCATGAGAAGGTGATTATTGCTTTATCTTGACATTTTGCAATAGCCACAATCCCCCTCTGTGACTTTGCTACAGCTTTTCCGAGGCCTCAGTTCACCTGCTGTCCACCCCAGTGCTCTCCTCCCCAGGGAGGACTGATCATCCTTCACTAAGGTCTTCCTGGTCTCTCTCATTGCCTGCAGGAGAAGCCGTACAAGTGTTCTGACTGCAGCAAGGCCTTCAGCCAGAAGCGGGGCCTGGATGAGCACAAGAGGACACACACTGGAGAAAAGCCCTTCCAGTGTGACGTGAGTTTCCATTCTCTTTTCTTTGCCTGGTGTCTTCCAATAGCAGAAAGGGTGCCCACATGTATAGGGTACTTGGTGTATATGTGAGTGTGGGGGAGAAGGGGTATGCGTGCACAAGTGCATCTGGGTGTTTAGTTTGTATCCTCTACAATCATTGCCTGTTAAAATCCGTGCTGTTTATAGTTTTTTATTGCATAATTCATAACATCACATTGTAGCTCTTTTACTCACTGTGGTTTTCTAGCAGGAAATAAACTTTGACTTTCTTTAAGACCAGCTGACACTTGTGGCAATGCCATGAACTTGTTCTCCACTAGGGTAAATTTACGATGCATTGAATCAGCTTTCATGTGTCTGCCCAAGTCTTGGACAGGCTAATGACATTTGAACCAAAGATTTGGCTAGTTACAGTTATTATTTTGTTAGATTCAGTATATTTCTAATATATGTGTAAACTTCTTTGTGTTAAATAAGAATGTAATTTTCTGCTTATAACAAGTGAATTGAAGCAGACTCATTTGACATTTTTGTTTACATTATTTTTGAAAGGATAAATACCACTGTTGTACATAAATGTAATCTGAGCATTGATTCATTTAGGGAGAAACATAGTTTCTTAACCAATTCTTCTACCAGAGTTTGCTCATGACAGAGTTGTCACAAGTGCTAGGCAAAGCATGAGAATACTTACTTTTGACACCTACATATCAAAAAGTATTAATGTAGAGGAGGAAGAAGAAGCATTAAAGCAGTAATATGTGAAATAGCACAGCAGACTGATTCTCTGTAAAAACTGAGAGAAACTTGAGAACTTGGTTCCCTAGGCATTTTCCTGTGGATAAACTATCCTGTACACTGTCCCCATGGAGGAAACACAAACACAAGATGCCTTCTTTTCCTTCTGTGAAACTTCACTGGTAAAGTTAAGACAATGAAACATTCCCAGTGGGTCTACTCAGAAGAGTGCTTTTATTCACAGTGCACTCCTGTAAGGAAAGAACAACTGGTAGAGAAGGAAATGTGTGCACACGGCACCTTATTCTGGACTGTAGCTCTAGCTCTAGCTTCGTTTCAATTGGTTTAACTTGTGGCACGTTTATAAAGGCTCATTAAATGATTTAATTGTACATCTGTTGGGTGCCTGAACTTACGTGTTAGTGATGTATGAATGTTACCTTCACATTCAACCCAACTGGTATCTGTGTGTTGAATATTTTTGTAAAATATTTCTTCAGAAAAATAGAGACATAAGCAGCAAAAAATAGGGCTAAAAGGTGTGACTTGGGTGTTAGAACACCAGTGGAGCAAATGTGAAGCCCTGAATTCAAATCCTAGTACAACCAAAGGAAAAACATTAGCCCTTCTCTTGTTTTTTTTTTCAACAATTTTCCCAGTTTAGCTCTTTCTCGTAAGTTTGCTCCATGTTGAATTAACCTTTGAATATGTCATATCTTAGAGTTTCTTCCAATTGATTTCTCAATCATCTGAACATCCCTAAAGCACCATAGTTATTTTCACACAACATCCAACCCCAGTAGTAAACACAGTTGCCAAATAAGTTGACTATATGTCCTGATGCTGATTTTTTTCTAGAATAATCTGTTTAGCTTATCTGTCATTTTCAGATTTTTCTCTAACACTGTCCTAAACTTGCCTCCTAGAACTAACATAGATGAATGATGATGATGATGATGATGATGATGATAGATGGATAGATAGATAGATAGATAGATAGATGAAAGATTTTAAATAGAAGATAGATAGATGATAGATTTTCTATATGATATATATGAATAATATTCATTTATACAAATCCTCCAATAACTGGAGTCTCATTTAGGTTGGAAACCAAAGCTTTCCGGGCTCTAAGGACCCTGTGTGTGCTGCACTCAGCAGCCTCATGTCCTAAGCTTTCTGACATGACCCTTGCTCTCTAGTGATGTGGCCTGTTTATGTCCTTTGCACACACCGAGCATGCCCTACATCCGGGTCTTTGTATTTGTTGTTCCCTCTACTTTCACATCACTCCCTGCATGTCTTTATGGCCTGCTCCTGAACTTCTCTTCAAGTGTCTGTCCAAATTAATTTCTCCTGTATCTTTATCACCTTAGCTCATATCCCAGCTTATTCTTCTTTATGGGATTTATATCTACCCCAGATGTTTATCTGTGCTAACGTTCATCTATTAAGCAACATGACAAAAGGAATTTGTTTCCACTATTTCTTGCTCAGTCTTCAAGCCTTAGTGGCCATTTGAAGGAATGAATGAATGAACCACTGTGTTACTTCATGTCCACCTCTCTGCTGGCTTAGAATAATAATAATGCTCTTTGTTATTTGAAGATGTTTATAGAAAATTTGAATTTCTATTTCTCAAGGTCTTTTCTATTAATAGCTGTTTCACTTTATTACAAAATAAAATCCATTTACATTTCTAGCCTAGTGTAATTATAAGAATAAAGATTTCTCGTTGTTTGGTGCACAAATCAATATAACTAGAAATAGAGTAAAGGTTCAGATGAGACTCAAAAGTGGAAGGAAAGAAATGGGAATATCACCACTGTGCTATGTGAACACTTTCTTGTCCTCTATTTTAAAGTAACTGTAAAAATCTGTAGAGTTGGCTGATGTATACAGAGCATCATTGGGAATCCTTTAATGACTACACTTAAGCTCTTGAACACAAAGCTTTCACTGTCTAGGTAGTGCGTTTCACAAGTGTGACAGCAGGTACTCAGTGGACATTGAATCCCCAGTCTGGCTCTCATTCAGCAGTCCATTGGATTGCTCACATTGCGTCTCCTGTGTGGAGCTTCTGGGCCTTCCTTAGCTCACAGCCATTGTCAAGGATTCCAGCATCTTGCTCAACTTCCTTCCCACTTTCTTCTGCTTGCTGCTGCTGTGATTTTTCCCCTGGGACTCCGGAAACAGACTTTACTTGCTATTCCTCCTGTAATCTGGTGAGCTGAACTGTCTAGGAACCCTCTTTATATTCTCAATGTCATTTTTTTTAATGGTGTCAGCCAGACAAATGGGAAATGTAGAGTCCGTTCCCATCTCTGGTTGAAGTTAAGAGCTTTAGCTAACTGTTGGCCCTTGGGAGGTAATGTAGACTCTGAGCCCAGACTGTCTGGATTTAAATTCTGGAAACAACGACCAAGTTCGATGAACTTGGGAAGTTTGGTTAAGCTTCCCTGTCTCTGTTTCAAAATGGGGAGAAATAAAACTCAGACCTGTTTTAAAGAGTGGTAGTGAGGATAAAGTGAGCTAGCATGTGGGAATTGTTCAAATATTGTGCTAGACACCAGGGTAGCAAACAAGATCTCAAAATCTATGGTCTTGTGGATTATACAATTAAATAAATGATGAGTTACAGTATGATTTTAAAACATACTAGAATGAGAAAGAGGAAAGATATTATCCTATAAGAGTATTCAGAAAAGACTAAGTGACCTTAAATGTGGGTGGGAGTGATCTGTGTGGAGGGAACATTTCAGGAGAAGGAGCGATATGGATGGCAGCAGAAGGTAGGAGGAGCTGGAGCTCTGCAAGGGAAGGAGGCTGCAGGGTATTATGAAAGAGGGAATCCTGGAGGTCTTTCAGCAATTGGAAGAAATTATCTGTGAGCCTAGTGTCCACTGGAAGCCAGTGAAAAAGTTAGTCAGAAATTCACTTTGACATTGGGCTTAAGAAGGAGACAAAGAAATAGAACATGCAGGCTAGGTACCAGTGGCTCACGCCTGTAATCCTAGCTACTTAGGAGGCTGAGATCTGAGAATCGTGGTTCAAAGCCAGCCAGGGCAGGAAAGTCATTGAGACTCCTATCTTCAAATAACTACCAGAAAACCAGAAGTCGCACTGTGGCTCAAGTGGTAGAGCACTAGCCGTGAGCTGAGGAGCTGAGGGACAGTGCCTAGGCCCAGAGTTCAAGCCCCACAACCAACAAAAAAACAAAAAAAAAGTAAGGTATTTTAAAAAAATCTTCTTTATGAATATGAGTATTAAAGCAGAAAAATGATTCTCCATTTATTTCACTTAAAAATACTTTTCATTGATACCCTCTTTAATTTCTTTAAATTTTCATCATTTGGGAGAGTATTTATATTGCTTATAAGATTGGCCTCCCTCCCTCCCTTCCTCCCTCCCTCCCTCCCTTCCTTCCTTTCTTCCTTCCTTCCTTCCTTCCTTCTTTCCTTCCTTCCCTTCCTTCCTTCCTTCCTTCCTTCCTTCCTTCCTTCCTTCCTTCCTTCCTTCCTTCTTTCCTTCTTTCTCCATTTGCCCAAGAAGTGAAACTCCCCACAGAAGCTTTCTTATTTATTTCATATATAATATATTTGATATGCAGTATATACACACACTTACATATAAATTATATATGCACACATATTCATATGTTCACATATGAACACATAATACACATGTGTATAAGAATGAACATGTGTTGTATATTTATACATGAATGTATCATTTTGTCCATGTGTATGCGTATACACATAACCTTTATACAATGTTAATGAGTTACATGCTGTTTAAGTATTGTACAAAGGGGTTTCAATTCAGCATGGCAGTAGGTGAGTACTGTGCATCTTGGTCAATGTCACCCCAATGCCATTCTCCCATCTCTCCCACACATCCCCTCAAATCATCTGGTTCCATTTTTCTCCCCCATCAGTCCTGAGGCTTGAACTCTGGGCCTGGGTATTATCCCTGGGCTCCTTTTGCTTAAGGCTAATATTCTCCTACTTCAGCCCTAGCGCCACTTCTATGATTTTCTATGATTAATTGGAGATAAGAGTCTCACCGGCTAGCTTCAAACACAACCCTCAGATCTCAGCTTCCTGAGTAGCTGTGATTATAAATGTGAGCCACCGGTGCCCAGCACCTGGTTCCATTTTTACATATGTACATTGAATATTATGACTTATTCATCCGTCCTTCCTCTCCATCACTCTGCCCCCTCCTCTTAATGTCACCCCATCCTAGACAACACATGTTCCACTGTCTGTATTCTTTTTGTTCAACTATGACCTAGTTGTTCAAAAAAGTTACACCATTGGAATCTTCTCCTGTGTATACCATAGTTCAGTGAGATTGTATATATCTGCATATGATCTTCTGTATGTATTCATATGCTTATAATTTATATCTGACTTCCATATCTGAGAGAAAACATGGTTCCTTTGTGTCTCTAAACCTGACTTAATGAACATAATTTTTCAGAGTACTTTTGCAAAGCCATTTTCCTTCCTCATTATATCCATTATGCTTTTCATAGTGTTTTCACATCATTGAAGTATGTCTTATTTTATAAGCAATTCATATGAATGGAATGTTTTGTAACATCAAACTTTGAATTTGATTTCATTTCCTTTAATAGTTTAACTATACCTTACATGCTCCTTTTTCATTTATACAGTTTTAATTATGAAGCGGTTTAGTGTAGACTGAGCCAGGTATCATTATGTCAGAGCTTATGTGAAGTAAACTTGTTCCAGTCTTTAATCAAACTACACACACACACACACACACACAGCCACACACACACACACAGCCACACACACACACGGAATAGGATGGGCTAGTGGGTAATAAATGTGCACGTGTTGCTTGAAGCAGTATTAGCCAGTGGCATCACAAGTGGAATCCTGAATGGGAAGGATGACTGGTGAGAAAGGTCTTGTGTTATTTATGCCAAAAGGAGAAATGTCTCTAGTCTAGAAGGTATTTTGCTTTAGAGGTAAAATATACCTTCTTGAGATAAGAAAGGTGTGTTACAACGGAGTCATTTCTCAAGGGCTGTTTAAGTGTGCAGGTGGAGGGAGGGGAAAATAACACTTGCAACTGTATTTTTTTAACCTGGTGTGAAATTCCACTGTTCCAAGAACAGTTTGGAATATGTTAATGCATACTTGAGAAGGGATTTTTATAAAGTATGTGGTATAAATAATAAATACTTTGGTGTACCTGAGGTTCTTCAGTATAATGTGGTTGGTATATTTGGGTCTTTTCTAGGTTTGTGACTTGGCTTTCAGCCTGAAGAAAATGTTGATCCGACACAAGATGACTCATAATCCCAACCGTCCCCTGGCAGAATGCCAGTTTTGCCATAAGAAGTTTACCAGGAATGACTACCTCAAGGTGCATATGGACAATATCCACAGCATAGCTGACAGCTGATGGCACCCGGAACGCAATTAAACCATTCACAGGGGCTCCTAATAGGAATCCCAGATTTTTCTTAGGTGATCAACATAACAGAAGCTGCTGAAAGTCACTGGCTGAGCTCATAGTTCTTATTTACCTATTTTGGACTTTATAGATATGCACATAAACACAAATTAATTTTAAAAGGTTTTTTGTTTGTTTCTGTGCCAGTCCTGGGCACTGTACCTGAGCTTTTTTGCTCAAGGCTAGTGCTCTTGAGCCACATCCAATTCTTTTTCTTTTCTCTTTCTTCTCTTTTCTTTTCTCTTCTTTTCTTTTCCTTCTTTCCTCCCTCCCTGCCTCCCTCCCTCCCTCCCTTCCTTCCTTCCTTTCTCCCTCCCTCCTCCTTCTCCCTCTTTCTTTCTTCCTTTCTTTCTTTCTCTCTTTCTCTTTCTTTCTTTTTCTCTTTCTCTCTTTCCTTCTTTCTCTCTTTCTTTCTCTTTTTCCTTCCTTCTTTCTTTCTCTCTCTTTTTTCTTTCTCTCTCTCCCCTTCCTTCCTTCCTTCCTTCCTTCCTTCCTTCCTTCCTTCCTTCCTTCCTTCCTTCCTT